GTGGCACTGCGGGAACAGGAAGAGGAGCGGCTGCGGGAGTGGCGGCAAGTGGAGAGGGCGGAGCGGGAGTGGCAGCGGCTGGAGTTTGAGCGGGAGCAGCAGCGGCTGCTGGAGCAGCAGCGGCGGGTGTCGCAGCAGCAGCAGCGGGCGTTGCAGCAGCGGCAAAGCCTGGCGCAGGAAGAGGAGCAGCGGCAGCAGGAGCTGGCGCAGCAGCAGGAATTCCGCCGGAGGCTGAGCTCCCGGAGGAGTGACCCCGCTCAGAAGGAATCGATACGCCAGCGGCAATTGCAGCTGGTGGCGCAGCACTGGGACCACTTGGAGGCCAAGGACTCCCGCATGTTCGCCGCGCAAGAGCTGTATCGGCACTCGTTGCAGGACCATCAGGATAATGCCAACCTGCGTGCGGATCGGCGGATGGAGCACGAGCAGCGCCGGCTGCGCCACAGCCTCGACGTCGCGCGCCAAGACACGGAGAGGTGGGTGGAGCGGGAGCAGCAGCGGGTGGAGGCGGCCCTCAGCAATCAGCAGCAGCTGGCTATGCTACACGATCCACATGGCTTCTATCAACCCTTCTAACTCAGCGATACACCACAAAGCATCGCCGGCAGGGGGTTGCATCCATGATATTCCTGGTCGTCCTGGGTGCTGCGTCGGCTGCAGTTGCATTGAGGGTAGTGGAGACCGAATGGCCATTTGTATCACCCAGATGAGCAGCAGGCCCTCCTGGAAAGAAGGAGATGATCACCACCGCTAATCAGAGGGTGCTTCTGGGAGAACCGCGATGCACATGTTGAAACTCCATTGAGGAAGGAACTAACTCTCCGTGATACTGCCTTTTGGAACCTTGCCTGATAGGACTTGGGACTGGGAATTCCTTGAGTCGTCACCCCTTTGAGACTGAATTAGAGGAGTGAAGCTCACGTGGCCCACCATTCCTTCCTGTCTTCTTCCCAGTGTTCTGCGCCCCTCCCGTCACTTGCCATGTATCCTGTGACCTCATAAAAGCACACGGAACGGGCACGATGTCCATTTATCCATTTATCCACCTTGGATGATGAGGATTTATTCATCGGCCGCTTCTTGGCCCCCACAAGGCCCCCCAAAGTGGTGAACCCTTAAAGCAAAGTATACAATAAAGTACAATTAAACAAGCAAAGCAAAGTAAGCGATAGAATGCAGTGAAATGACATAGGTCAGCTGGCTAGCAAAACAGTGTAAGGCAGCACAGTGGAAGTGCAGAAAAGTTGAGCCTTCCCAAGCTAGAAGGCAAGTGTGACCTCAACAGGCATACATCCCTCACGCTTGAAAGCTAGTAGCACCCCAGGACAGGGGTTGCTATCAGAGCCAGTGTGGTGTAGTGGTTAAGAGCAGTGGACTCATAATCTGGGGAACCGGGTTCACTTCCCCGCTCCTCCACATGCAGCTGCTGGGTGACCTTGGGCTAGTCACACTTCTCTGAAGTCTCTCAGCCCCACTCACCTCACAGAGTGTTTGTTGTGGGGGAGGAGGGGAAAGGAGATTGTTAGCCGCTTTGAGACTCCATAGGGTAGTGATAAAGCGGGACATCAAATCCAAACTCTTCTCTTCTTCTGTGAGATTCCAACACCCACCAGCTCAATCCAGCATGGCCAAAGGTCAGGGTTGAGAAGGGGAGTTTCAGATTCCACAACCACTGCCTTAAGATGTCCTCTGAGCGCCCAAAGAATCTGAGCTTAGCTTAAAACAGTGGTTCCCAAAAATCCCTGCTCCCAGTGGGAGACCTGAAAATTGCAGATTTCCTTGGCTTGCCCCACTTCGTGATTTTTCTGCATGTCGAAGCAATTGTAAGGCGCTGTGCTAGTTGCCGGGCGATTTTTAATCATACTTTTCTTGCTGTTTTTATTTTTTCTGTTGTATTTTATTGCATTAGAATTTGCCTTCTGCAGAATTCAGATTGTCAAACAGTAAAATGCAATGTAAGAAATATATTTGAATATAAGCTGTAATTTTAAAAATGCAATTAAAAACCAGTGTATTTAATGCAGACATGGCACAGCCCACCAAATTGAAGTTCATGGACCACGGTTTGGGACCCCCTGGCCTGCAACATCTGGCCTCTCCATGAGAGATTGCATCATGATTTTGGGAGTGCTTCCCCCCCTTTACTTAGTTTTATGATTAGTGTCATGAACGGAGCCTTAAACGGCTCAGAATGTCAATACCTCAAGGACCCCATACGAATCGACCCGAACCCTGCAATCATCATTTGAGGCTGTTATTCATGTGCTCCCTCTACGAGAGGTCCAGAGGGTAGCTGCATGATAGCGAGTCTTCTCTGCGGTGAGATTTCTTGTTGCCTTTTGCATGTATTTGGGGCTCAGAGCAGCAGGAACAGGCCCACATTAACCTCTCCTGCTGATGGAGAAGGGCCGTAGCTCAGTGACAGAACATCTGCTTTGAATGTAGAAGACCCCAGGTTCAGTCCCCAGTATATCCAAGGTGGGGCTGGGAAGGAGCCTCGTCTGAAACCCTGGAGAGCCCCTGCCTGCCTGTGTTGACAGTGCTGAGCTTGATGGACCCATAGTCTGAATCTTAAGTATAAGGCAATTTTCTATCATCCTGAAAACCAGAGTGGGCAGAAACATGGCAGTAAAACTGTGGGCGATTTAAAACAGAAAAAAACACACACACGGTGGAAAAACCATAAGACAAATCAACCTGTCAGGCAAAAGGCCTGTCTGAATCATATCTGTTTTTTTTTAAAAAAAAGACATTTACTTGTTCTTTGGAAGGATTCCAGAGAGGGTTAGATGAGGCCTTGTCTCAGAAAAGGAACTCCAAAGCACAGGAGCAGTCAGTGAGAAGTTATTCTCTGCTTCTCTGCCAGGTGTACATCATGTTCCTTAAACCTGGGGTAGCCACCATCCAGATATTTCTGGAGTGCAGCTCCCATGACCTCTGACCCTTGGTCGTGTTGGCTGAGGCTGATGGGAACTGTAGTATAGAAAGACCTGGAGCGTGACACACCAGCTAGATTAAATGCCCCCCCCCCCCGGTCTGATTCAGCAGAGCATTTGTGTTTTTCATATCTCTACAGCATGGGTAGGCAAACTAAGGCCCGGGGGCCAGATCCGGCCCAATCACCTTCTAAATCCAGCCCACAGATGGTCCAGGAATCAGCGTGTTTTTACAGGAGTGGAATGTGTCCTTTTATTTAAAATGCATCTCTGGGTTGTTTGTGGGGCCTGACTGGTGTTTTTACATGAGTAGAATGTGTGTTTTTATTTAAAATGCATCTCTGGGTTATTTGTGGGGCATAGGAATTCGTTCATCCTCTCCCCCCAATATAGTCTGCCTCCCCCACAAGGTCTGAGGGACAGTGGACCGGCCCCCTGCTGAAAAAGTTTGCTGACCCCTGCTCTGCAGCATATGGCATGACTCAGACAGAGAGCAGGCACTGAGCTGCAATTTAACTAAAGTGGCCGATAAGCCTATGTGAAGGTTTATTCTGGGGGAATAACAGCAGAGAGGAACAAAGGGACCTTATGCTGCCTTCTATATAGACCTGCCTGAATGTTAAGCTTGGGTGGGGTACTGTTCTTAGGTGACACATAGCAGGGCCTTCTCTGTGTTGGTATCCTGTTTATTGAACTCTCTCGCTTTGGAGGTGTCTCTGGCACCATCATTTTACTTATTTCAACCCTTGGGCAGGATGCATCTCTTCACCCAGGTTTTGAGGAGCCAATGAATTATTTTAGATTGGGTTTTGTGCGTCCCCTCCCTTCCCCCCTTTTTTGCGCTGTCATAATCTTTATGCTATAATTGTACTTTTAAGTCAAGAGTCCTCAACCTTTTCAGACTGGTGACCCACCTTTAGCCCAAACATGCATTTGGGAATTAATTTTACACCGTATAGTTCTACTGCAGTAATGTTGCTGCTCTGCCCCCCTGGAGGGTCTCTACCCCACTGGCTTAGGTCTGATGGTCAGGGTAGAAAAGGAATCGGAATTGGAGGGAAAGGAGAGCAAGTTCGTTTTCCAGTAGCATCAAGAGCTGCAATGAATAGGCGTTGGAAGGGTCAAGATCTACACAAAATCTTTATTGAACCACTTTTATTAAATCTGCCAGGACGATCAGGTGCATCTATCTCTCTCAGTATTGCCAAGCAAAACCCACCAAGAACTGACCCCAGACACTTTGTAATTTTCCTCTTTGGAGTTTGTGACATGACTACAACTTTTAAGATGTTGGTGCCCTTGTTACTCTGTGCTACTTTTATTTATTGTTTTCAACGCTACTAGACCCATCTGGACAACATGTTCCATACACTTTTTATTTTGCTTCTTTAATTCTCTTCATTGATCAATAAAGATTTGATTTGATGTGCTTTGGAAGGATTTCCAATAAATGACCTTGCACATTGGTACCAAAAGATTGTGGTGTGTTGCTTTATTAGACAAGCTCACACAAGGAGTGAGACTTGCTGGATGTGTTTGCAGCTGTATCCCCTTGTTTTACTGAGTATGCAGGAGTTAAGTGCGCCTGACTATCCCTCGCCTGCAGCATATTCTCATTAGTAGTTTCAGTAAAAAACTTTTGGTTTGGGAGGGAGCAACAAGTCAGCCCAGAACCTGTAAGGAAGCTGCTTATTAATTTGAAACTGCCAGTAAACCAGTTTGTATTTACCTGTCTCTTCCATTCTTCCAATTGACTGTGGAACAGTATATGAGTTATTTGTAACAATCCTTGAGTCTGCTTTCTAAGAACATAAGAAGAGCCTGCTGGATCAGGCCAATGGCCTTCCTAGTCCAGCATCCTGTTCTCACAGTGGCGAACCAGATGCCTATAGGAAACCTGTAGGCAGGATCTGAGCATGACAGCAACTCTCCCCTCTCAGGTGGGGAAGAGAGACCATTATAACATAGCACAGCCAAACTTCACTTTTAACTCCATGCATGAAGATGCTGCCAGCCTCCAACAAACGTACTGTCTGGGGCTGATACCTGTCTTGCTGCTTTTAGGTTAGCAAGCCCTGGAAGGTCCTTGCAGAAGACCAGCTCCTTTGGTTCCGGTTGTGCCAAAAAGAAGGTTACCTGCCCAACAGTCAAATATCTGATTCTCCTTTCTGGAAAAGGACCCTCCGGGAATGCCGGGAGAAGGAGCAGGTTTTAAGAACCAACTGGAAGGTAAACTCTGCGGGGGATTCTTCTTTTGGAATCCATTATGACTCTATTAGGCAGGGGTGGGGGACCTGTTTTAGCCTGAGGGTTGCATGCTTGTGACAGGCTGGGCCAGGGGCAAAAGTCAGCAGAGTGATGAATGGAAATTTTAACCTTGTATAATAAGCTAGTTCCTATAAAGCAAGAAAATGGGGGGCACTCTTATGCTACCCTTATGCTATTCATATAATCAGTTATCAGTAATCAATATATTCATATATGCTCACATATAACAGGGCTTACAGTGAATTTTATAATCCATTTTGAATCAAAGGAAAGCTTTGCCTAACCTAACTGCAAACTGCTTGGAACCGCAAGTCCAGAACCGACCTTTCACCTAGTCACATCCTGTACCCTGAAGGAAAGGGGAAGACATGAATCAGAGACACTGCTACAAAATCCCCCTCAAATGCAGGCTAAAATAGTCCACAGAACAGGAAGGGCCAAACCACAAAACTTGGGGGAGGTAAGGCCAGGAGATTCCCTGAGTCTCATTTCCTTGTTCTGTCCGAACTAGGGAAAAGGTCAGACTGCGCATCATTTGTGCAGACAATGGAAAGCAGAAGTTAGGGAGTGAACTCTGCGCAAGGCTAGGAGCCTGGCAGATGCACGCTAATTGGTTATTCTTCGCTGGCGTCTGTGACTGTCTCATGACTGTCTCATGATCTGTGATTTGCTCAGGTATAAAGACCTCAGGATTTGTATGCTTCGGGGTCCCAGTCTTTTGGAAAAGATTCCAACTGGGTCCATTATTGCTCAGCAATAAAACCTCACCTTCTTTTTCTCCAAAAGCTGAGTCTGTCTGATCCTTGTTTCACTCTAAGTGGGTACCACTTTACTTTCACGTGCTACACCTACTCTCTCTCTCTCTCTCTCTCTCTCTCTCTCTCTCTCACACACACACACACACACACACACACACACAGGATCATACATCCCTTTCCATCCAGGCAAACAAGAGGCATAATCAGAATTCAAGGATGCATTATTGCCAGGCTGGTGAGAGCATAGGCGCCGACTCCATGGGGCCTGAGGGGCCCGAGCCCCTCAAAAATTCGATTGGGGGGGCGGAGCCCCCCCAATAATTTAAGAAAATTATTAGTGCGCGAACCTTCGTGCAAAGTCTGGCGGGCCAGCGCTGCGGCCGCGGCGACATCAAAAGGACTGGAGAGTCCCGAGGAGATTGCACGGCGGGAGAGAGAGGCAGGAGGTGCACTCGCTCGCCGCGCGCACGCACACGCAAATACAAACACACCGAGGGAGAGGGGAAAGTGTTTTGCAGGAGGAGCTGCTGCCGCCGCCGCCGCTGCTGCCAGGACGCGCCAGAGGAGCCGCCGGGTGGGAGGGGGAATCCGAACGGAACAACAGAGAGAGAGAGAGAGAGAGAGAGAGAGAGAGAGAGAGAGAGAGAGAAGCAGCAGCGTCTCTGAATGGGCTGGATATTCCTCCTCAGGCGGCGCTGGCTCTGTGGCTCCCGGGGCCTGGGCGGCAGCAAGCAAAGCAAAGGAGCCGCCGACCGAACAGCAGCAGCAGCCGCCTGCCTGCCTGCCTGCCTGCCTGCCTGCCTGCCTGCCTGCAAGCCTGCCTTCTATACCAAGGTCCAGGTTCTTACCCGGTCTACCTGGAAGAAGGAAGCAGGCAGGCAGGCATGGGACGTCCACGCACCCTGGCCTGCTGCCTTCCTGCCTGCCTGCGGCCGCCTGGCACTTCTATACGAAGGTACAGGTTCCTACCCGGTCTACCTGGAGGGAGGCGGGCAGGCACGGGGGTCCTGCTCAAGCAAGGAACCGACGCCTACCCGGCCAACCCGCTGCCTTGAGGCAGGAGCAGCAGCTGCGCGGGGTCTCGCGTTCTCTCAGAGGCTCGCGCTGCTTCTCGCGTTCTCCCTCCCCCAGGACCCCGGTATGGGCCCCCCCAATATTTTTTATAAGTCGGCGCCCCTGGGTGAGAGGTACGGCTCAGGAGGGTGGGTGACCAAGGCAGAGGCATATGATGGGTATCAACTTTCAATGATTTCAGACAGAGAACTTTCATAGCCCTATCTGGAGGCACTGGGGGGCAAGCTTGGCATCTTTTGGGCACAAAGCATGTGCCCTGCTATTGAGCCTTCACCCTGCATACAGGAACACAGGAAGCTGCTTTCTATCAAGTCAGACCCTCGAACCATCTACCTTAGTGTTGCTGGCTCTGACTGGCAGCAGCTCTCTGTGGTTTCAGACAGGAGCCTTTCCTAGCCTTACCTGGAGATGGTCGAGATTAAACGTGGGGGCCTCCTGCATGCACAGAGCTATGACCCTTCTGGTGATGGGGAAGCAGAAGGGTTGGGATTGCTACGTGGCTGATCAAGGCCAATGCCGCTCCCTTGTCTTCCTCTGCAGAACCGCATTGGTGCCGTGAGCCAGCTGCAGTACGAACTTGGGAAAGTTCTGTGCGACGTGCATTCTTGCGACGGGGTGGTCATTGCTGGGTAAGTACATGGTAGTTGGCTTCCTGGGAGTTCTGTTTTGCGGACTGAACACTTCTCCTCCCACTGGCAGCCTCGCTGGATGTTGCGTGGCCAGTGCAATGGGCTGTATCCAATGTAGCTGTGAGTTAAAGTCGCTTAGCTGTATACTTATTGCGCTGGTGGAAGGTTGTTGCACAAGGGGAAATGCGCATTCGTATTCAGAGATTGTTGGGCTGCAAGAATCAGCTGTTGCTCAACAAGCTTATGCCAAAACAACTGTTGTTCTAGATTCCTTTGTTGGCCAGCCTTTAAATTCTGCCATCCGCTGGAGCAAAGGTTCTTGTGCTAAGGGTCCGAGAATGTTGAGTGTTGCCTAGAAGAATTGAATTGACAGCCTAATTGAGGTTCTCAGGGGAGGGGAATTTTTCAGGCACAGTTGCATGTCAGGCTAAAGGAGTACAGCAGGTTTAACAGAGAATGTTGGATACAGTCCACAGTGACCTCCTGGTGTTGCCAGACTAATTATACTTCTCATCATCCCTAACACTTGGGGCTGATGGGAGTTGTAGACCAAATATCTGGGGGACTACAGGTTTCCCATCCTTGCTTTAAGACTATAAAGTTTTATAAACTCTCAAACACAGCTCTACAAAGTAGCCATCTTCCGGGCTCAACCTGCTATCACAATCATTTTTGCTCTGTGTGTGTTTGCGTCCAGTCTTTCTGGCCAGTTACACAGATCTTACAAACTTAACCAGAATAGTATCCATAATTCAGATAATTTGCTAGCAACACAAAGGTATCACATCTCTTTTGCTGTTGATTTACATGTCTTAGAAGTGGCAGCCAAAAAATTATCTGTTTTTTTTCTTGTAAGATTTTCCTTGTTTTCTGTAATGGGCTAACATGACTACGCCTCTGAAAATTCCAAGATGTAATACATGGGTAGGCAAACTAAGGCCCAGGGGCCAGATCCGTCTCAATAGCCTTCTCAATCCAGCCCACGGATGGTCTGGGAATCAGTGTGTTTTTACATGAGTAGAATGTGTGCTTTTATTTAAAATGCATCTCTGGGTTATTTGTGGGGTATAGGAATTTGTTCATATTTTTTTCCAAAATATAGTCCGGCCCACCACATGGTCTGAGGGACAGTGGACCGGCCCCCTGCTGAAAAAGTTTGCTGACCCCTGATGTAATACATTCAAAATAAATTCTGAAAATCCAGATATGTGTGTGTGTGTGTGTGTGTGTGTGTGAGAGAGAGAGAGAGAGAGAGAGAGAGACCATAAAACTTGATCACCAAAAGCCAGCTGATTTCAAAACCTTGGTCTTGGCTTCAGGAAAACGTTCCATACATTGACAGTGGCATATCTAAGCAGCTCATGGGATCTCCGCTGAGAAACAAATGGTTAAGTATCCATGCAGGTCCTAATATCCACAGCATTTGATTAAGCTTACTGGTATTTCAAGGAGATGAATTAGTTAAGAGGTTTCTCTGTTAAACTTGGGGATTCCAGCAGAAACCCTGGAGGGAGACTTGTCTGCTTGCCTGCCTGCCTGTTTGTTTGTTTTATTTAGAGCATTTGTGCACCATACTTCAGCTCCCAGAGTGGCATAAATACTATCAGTTAAAAATAATAATAGGCAGTCTCCAGTCTCAGGTTTATGATTTTGAAGAAATCCTAAAAATGACATAAGGGGAAAGAAGGGAAGAGGGAAGAAAAGGGAAGAAAATCAAACTCGGGCGTGTTAGGTATTTGCGTGATGGGTCACCAAACACACATCTTGGCGAAGAAGAAGAAAGAAGAAGAAGAAGAAGAAGAAGAAGAAGAAGAAGAAGGGGAGTTTGGATTTGATATCCCGCCTTTCACTCCCCTTCAGGAGTCTCAAAGTGGCTAACATTCTCCTTTCCCTTCCTCCCCCACAACAGACACTCTGTGAGGTGAGTGGGGCTGAGAGACTTCAGAGAAGTGTGGCTAGCCCAAGGTCACCCAGCAGCTGCATGTGGAGGAGCGGAGACGCGAACCCGGTTCCCCAGATTACGAGACTACCGCTCTTAACCACTATACCACACTGGCTCTTGAAGAAGAGAGCAAGCCAGTTTTGTCCCGTTAGGTTAAGACATGAAATCCACTATCCTCTTTTCAGAGTGGCTACCCAGGACCTGAACTATTACCCCATGCTCCTATGGTTTCCACCAGCTTGAATTCAGAAGCATTAATAACACTGGAGGCAAAGTATAGCTCTTGTGGCTTCCAGCCATCAATACCCTTATCTTCCATGAGTTAGTCCAGTCCTCTTTTAAAGCCATCCAAGTTGGTGGCAATCGCTTCCTCTCCTGTGGGAGCGAGTTCCAGAGTTTTAGCACTGCTCTTCATGAAGAAGTCATGAGCTGGGCTGCAGCTGGAGCTCTTAAGGGAGCTGAACACTGGTCCTTATGGCAGAGAAGTTGACAGGACAGCAGAGGTGACCAAAAGGGAAACAGGAGCCTGAATCTGTGCTTGAGAAAGTTACTGTCTAAGTAACTAAGTATGCTAGAGCTGAAAGCATTGATTGATCCACGGATTGTGTGTGTGTGTGTGTTTTTAATTGAAGACGGTCTCTGTAAAACAGTGTCTGTTGCTGATGTTACTTACTTGGGGCTTAGTCACTTATTTGCTTAAAAGGGGGCTTAGAAATTTGAAACCTCTCAAAACACTTCTTTTTTCCAGAACTGGCTGCTCAAGGGGGTGTTGGGGAGGTGAACTCATTTAGCTCAGTGGAATTTGAGATTTTCTTTTTTTTTAACCCCCCCCCCCCCCCAAGAGCCTCGGCTCTTCTTTGGATTAAGAGCCTGACTGATGTATCCCCAAACCATAAAACTGAATCTGTTATTTAACAGAGATAAAACTTATTATTGTGGCTTTTAGCTGAAATGCTGGGGGGGGGGGAGAGAGGCAATGACAGTAGTTAAAAGCTAAACTCTGCTTGATACTCTTTCTTCATGCCTTGGAACGGGGTTTGAACTGGAGTGCTGAATGTCTCCCCTGGGCTGCATTTTCTGAACCACCCGAGAGAGATTTGTCCACTCCCACAACGGCACATCGTTTCTATTTATCACCACAATTGCTTTATCTGCAATGCAGAGTTGAAAAGGTTTATTAACGCAGGTCTTTTAATGCCCTGAGCCTTATCAATTCTGATCCTACGGTTTAAAAAAGGGGGGCGCGGTGGCTTTGAGAATGATTGTCCCAGGTTAATCAGTAATCTTACCTTGACCTAGACTGGAGTATATAGATCAGGTAGAGTCCCTCTCTCCCTCTCCTACCCCCCTCTCTCTCCTCACCTCCTCCCAGCACGCCCCCCCCCCCCCCCCGCTTTCCACCCTCCCAGTCTTTCAGAAGCCACCAAGCGGGCGCTCAGTAGAAGTGGTGATGTCATACGAACTGTGAAATTGGCTCAGCCCTGCCATAAATCAATGTATGGTATTTTACAGCAACACTTCATTTTAATGATACATTTTTGTAGAGTAGGATTAGAGTCAATTGTCTGTATAAAATAAATATATATCTCCTGCTCCATTAATGCCAGATTCTTTGAGTGGCGGAGACGAAGGCAGCTTGAACTAAATTCAGTAGTTCTTTCCTCTGCTTTTCTTTTTCTTTCTTTTTCAGGATGAAATGTTGAGAATTGATTGCCTCCCACTAATAGCTAAGTCGGTATTGACTGTGCCCCTTCAAAGGTCTTAATTTTTGCAACCCGCACCCCCCCCTTTTGAAGCGTGGCTTCAGATTGCAGCTGGTGCGAGGTCTCGTTCAGGTATCTTTGGCAGAGAGGCTCGTGACATTTTGAGGACCCCAGGGAGGCGGATGTTTGCGCAGATTCGGTCTAGCTGGAGAGCTGCTGATATCTGGAAGCAGCCAAGCCACACGGCAGTTCAGCCACTGCTTTCCCTCTGTGAGATCCAGACATTTTGCAAGCTTTTTTGGGGGGGTCTAATATGACACCACCCCAAGCAGCATCCACTGTGGTTTTGCTCCCCGCCTTTTTTGGGGGGTAAGGTAAAGGTAAAGGTACCCCTGCCCGTACGGGCCAGTCTTGACAGACTCTAGGGTTGTGCGCTCATCTCACTCTAGAGGCCGGGAGCCAGCGCTGTCCGCAGACACTTTCGGGTCACGTGGCCTGCGTGACAAGCTGCATCTGGCGAGCCAGCACAGCACACGGAAACGCCGTTTACCTTCCCACTAGAAAGCGGTCCCTATTTATCTACTTGCACCCGAGGGTGCTTTCGAACTGCTAGGTTGGCAGGCGCTGGGACCGAGCAACGGGAGCGCACCCCGCCGCGGGGATTCGAACCGCTGACCTGACGATCGGCAAGTCCTAGGCGCTGAGGTTTTACCCACAGCGCCACCCGCGTCCCTTGGGGGTAGGGGACATAAAATCAAGATTAGATATGGTCATCATAAGACCAGTTCTTTTCTGAAAAGCAGAGTAAACGTTATTGGTGCTAGCCACTGCTGGAAGCATCATGCCTCTGAACAGCAGTTTCTGTGAATCACCATTGGTGAGAGCGCAGTCTCACTCAGGTCTTGCATGCCACAGTTCTGGCAGGTCTTAATATCTTGACTGAAACTAGAACCCTTCTCACCTTCATCTTAGAAGAGCCAGTGTAGTATAGGGGTTGAAGTGTCAGACTAACACCTGCGAGAGACCAGAGTTCCTATTCCCAATCGGCCATGAAGCCCTTGGAGTGTAACCTACTTCACAGGGCTGTAGTGGGAATTAATTGGGATGGGGAAGAACAACTTTCAGAAGACACCTGAAGGCAGCCCTGTATCGGGAGGTTTTAAATGCTTTATGTTTTCATTATGTTTTTAGATGTGCTGTAAGATGCCCAGAGTGACTTAGATGGGTAGGGTATAAATGAAGAAGTTGTTGTTGTTGATGATGTGTGCAGTCCTGACTTGCTTGGGGAAAAATGTGGGGTGTAAATGCACTACAGAAGCAAGGGCTTTTGTGGCCCTCCCTGAGCCAGTATTGAA